GATCACGGAGGGATGAAGGGATGCGGGATCACGGAGGGATGAAGGGAAGGCGGGATGCAGGATCACAGAGGGATGAAAGGATGCGGGATCATGAAGGGATGAAGGGATGCAGGGTCATGGAGGGATGAAGGGATGCGGGATCATGGAGAGATGGCGGGAAGCGGGATCACGGAGGGATGGTGGGAAGGCGGGATCATGGAGGGATGAAGGGATGGGGGATCACAGAGGGATGGCGGGAAGGCGGGATCATGGAGGGATGAAGGGATGTGGGATCATGGAGGGATGGTGGGAAGGCGGGATGCAGGATGGCTGCGGGACCTTCCCTCAGCCCCACCCCGCCCTCACCGTGGCCAGTCACAACCGTCATGGGTCCCTCTGATGGATGGGTCACGCACACGGGCTGAGGAGAAGCAAACATCCCAAAGGGCAGCTCCCCTGCCAGGTGCCATGTAAACCAATGCACACAGGGAGTCTCCATGACTCCAGGCAGCTCTTCCACCACTGGCACCATGTCTTCAAGCCACATCTACCACCAGCACATCCCATAAAGCCACAAGGTTCTTGGGTTGGCCTCACTGCCAGACACCCTGGTACACCAGGAGTGGTTCAGCTTCTCCAGCTCACCCTCACACTGACCATTCCCAGCTCCCACCTGGAGCTGTTCCCTTCAGGCACGCACAGCACCAACTGCACCTCATCCTCTGAAAGGCCTTTTCCAACCTAAATGATTCTATTTATAACCTTCATCATGAATCTTCAGTGCTTGAGACATGGGACGGTGCATCCACGCCCCCAGACATCACTTGGCTCCTGTCACCACACTAATAGCGCATTGTAACACCCACCTTACAATTCCTAGCACACAATCCCACAGACACAATTTTTAGAGGAATGAGGTCAAAATTGCTAAGGCACATTCAATTTGTTCGAACTGGAAACCTTTTTTCTCTTCAGAAGCTTAAGCAGGATTTCTAAAGAAAAATGAAGATCAAAGACAAAGCAACCTCCCATTGTGTCCCAGAAGAGGAAACAAAAATGTGTAAAATGACTAAATCTGGAAACAGAGGCAACAGAACAAGTTTGAGGAGACAGAAGAAAATGCAGCTGTTGCTCAGGTACCAGCTGGAGAAAGGATAAAAGCAAACCAGATCTCAGCAACCCTCCCTGACACATCTGATCAGCATGAAATATGTCCAGGGAAACACTGAAGTTACTCTCAGTTGTTACAGATATCATTTAGGCTCTGGGGCAAACCCTAGACATTCACATAAAGGAATAAATTTGATATGCAAAACTACTGAAACATCATCACATCTTCAAAAGTCTAATAATAGCTCTAAGGTTTTTTGAAGGCTCCTATCAATATAAGTTACTTTAAAAATACAAAACCAAAAGAAAAATCCCTCCCAGTTTTTCCAGTATAGAACAGGCAAACTGACACCTACTTTATTATTTGCCTGTTAATTACCAGACATAAGAGCACATTACAGTGGTGGAACTGGCAAGAAAACAGTGTTACATGTCCAAATCTCAAAAATCACTTTAACTAGAGGTTATAAAAACAAGCAAACAAAACCCAAGAAATTGCTATGGCACAGATTCTAGTCCTGTGCTCATGAACTACGAAAACTTCCATGAAAAAACTTATAACTTGAAATCAGCAACAAACAAAACTGTCATCAATGTGATCAAAAGGAATTATCATAGTAAGGATTTGGGTTTTTTTTGTGTTTTGGCAGTTTTTACTTACACTTTACACTCAGCATTGAAGAGCAAAAAGAGAAATTCACATTATTTAATAGAGAGCGCCAGTCAGTCTGGTTTTGAATGCACAAAAAAAGGTAGTAAATAAAACAGACTTTGAAACTTATCAGGTGATATCTGTCAGTAGGGAGTAGTGGATTTGCAACAAACTACCCCTTGTTTTTTTCCTTGTTGCTGACAGAAGTAGCACCCCTCTACTAACACTTGGTTTCATGTAGAATAGAACACAAACAGGCAAAATTTGAGATAATTTTGCCTCTCGCTGTCCCACACCACTGCTCAAGAAATTACTTCTCTTAGGCACTCTTAGTAACTTAGCAGTCACCAGTGCATGTGGGGTTACATATGCTGTACAACATATAGTATCATCACTCTATATCCTCTTTCTGATACTGCCACTGAGTTGCTTCAGTAGTAAGGTTTACTCAAATAAAAGATAAAAATGGGTTCTCCAACCATAGCCTTCAAAGGTTACCTAGATAATCATGGTAGCCATTTAGCAAATTCAATGCCATTTAAAAGAGCAGCTAAGACAGGTAGACAGAATATTCCACTCTGAGGTTATAAAATGGTTCATTTTGATAGCTGCAAATAACATTTTCCAGAGAAACTGTGACCAGCTGGCAGAAAGCACCAACCAAGCAGCAAATTATCTTTTAAAAGTTATGGTGAGTGACCATTTATTTCTGGTGACCTGCCCAGTAAATGCTCCATGCCCACAAGATTACACAATGTTATTTCAGCCTTTCACCTAGCTCTGGAAAGTGTCAGTCATTTATGGGTATGAGCATGAACCCCCAAACATTTTTATTAAAAAAAAAAAAGAACCAAAAAACAAACTAACAAAAAAATCCCAACAATCAAACAAAACCAAACCCTATTGAAAAGGCTGCAATTGAGAATATGATGATGCATCAATTTAAAAGTTCAGGATCATTTGTTGCAGAAATTAAACCTGTACAAATTTGGTTTGATGAATGTGTATAAGGCAGAGACAGTATTCTAATCACAGACAGACAGAAGGAAAAAAGTCCTGCAAAATTCCAGACTGCTGACAAATCTGAACCACAGTATTTCTGTGATAGTCACCCATAAACTCAGCAGATCCACACAGATGATCACTGGGGGAGTTTCGTGCCTTGAAACCCATGAAGTTTTGATTTTAATTTTTTTCAACTGACTATAGAGCACAAGTTTAATTTAAATTAGCAGAAATGGCAGATGACTTCCAGTTGAAGGAATCTGTAGAAATTCCTACTTCTGTAAGTCTTCCAGGAAACACTAACACTATACACTAGGAGTAGTAAGATGGTTGTGTACTTTACTAAAAACCTCAATACACATGGTGCTACAAAACAGGACCCTGCAAATACTGACCCTTGAAATGAAGCCACTACAGGATTCCTCCCATTTGGATAATTTTACTGCCATCAAAATAAAATTAATCTGACGTGCCATGCTGACCTGTCAATTACTGCCATGGAACAATTCATTTCCAAGGAACTCAGCAGGCCCTGCCAGTCCCCCTGAGCACAGTAACAGGAAGGGACATGGATCACAGCACCAGCCTGGCACCAGCAGCTCTTCTGGGCATTGAAGTAGTTGGTAGGTTGCCACTCCACCTACAGATGCACATCTGGGTTCCCCGTGGAGAGTCTGCACATAAAATATTCAATAGTTCTCCTGGCCTGCCTGTTCCGTGCCCTGTGATGCCACTGCTCTGCTTCTTCAGGACATTATGGGAGAAATTTTAGAGCAATATCAGGGCTAATTGAGCTGCCTAATCAGGCCAGACCCACTGCACAGCATCTCACGGTGAACCACATGGGAACGTGGAAACAGGAATAATCTACATAAACTGAATCCTAATGCTAGCTTGCTTCACTACTCCTTCATTATTCCAGCACGAATAAAGAACAAAGGATACAAAGATAAATCCCATTGTTTTATCCATGAATAAACCTCCAGGTGGTTGTGCTTATGTTAATTTCTGACACTGAACTGTAGCTTTTCTGTTTTTCTGCAAAGAATTAAGTATAGAAGTTGTTTCATATGTGCTCACACTGGCCTTTGTTTCCCGGTGGGAATCTCATCACGGCTTTAGCGGGAGCTTTAAAAGCTGCCAAGCAGTTTTGAAAATACCCCTGCAAGTGCTTAACTACAACGGCTTTTGGTATAAATAAGCAAAATATTTACTTACGAAGCATAAACTCAAAAACATGCTGTGGCAACTAAATAAATCTGGTAATCCATTCTGACTACAAAGACTGATTTCAAGCCATCAAAGCCTGTCAAAATGCACTTAGTGGGTTGAACATTCTTATAATATTAACCATCATTTTTCATTGTAAGCCACCTACTCATAAGCTGTAATAGATGAAATAGAGGATCCTAGATAAATAAGATTTTTCTATAGGGAAGAAGGGAAATTATTAAGTTTAGTTTCAAACATCTGATGTGTTCAGTTAAGAAGATTAACACATTATTAAAATAGTTCAGCTATCAAAATTTATCTACTAAACTTTATGTAGAACTCACCTATAACATACAGAGAGAAAAATCAGCATAGGTAATATGTTTATGCAAGAATATTTTGTCTTTCCTGGAGTAGACTAACAACCCTGCATACTTGACAGTGTTTATAAGCACATACTTCCCCTCACAAAGATACTGAAGAGTTAAACTTTTCTTGCAACAGAAATAAAATTATCTAAAGAGCATTGTTTGAGCTCAGGCGAAAAGACAAGGCAGGCAGGCCATGATCCTGCAAAGGGACCTGCCCTGCTGCACACTCAGAGTTCCATGGGAGTGAGGTTTATCTAGAAATGAGGCTTTTGTGTGATATGTGCCCAATTCCTGATAGCACTGATTTGTGTAGAAGGGTTCTGGCATTTTCCTTGCTGTCTGGCAGCAGCGCTGGCAGCTCAGACGCAGTGAGATCTTCAAACGATGGCTTTTTGCAAGGATGTGCAACATCTTCATTATCACATGTGCACACACACACACACACACACTGGACTAAAAACCCTTACCACTGACAAAGCCTCTGGCTTCTTGTGATGCTGAAAATTCAAACAGCTACTAGGACTCTGTTATTTCGGTAGCAAAAGGTTTAGTGCAGCAATAAACATGAGATGTGCGCTGGTTTTGGCTGGGTGGAGTTGGTTTTCCCCAGTTGGTCTAATGTGGGGCTACATTTTAGATTTGTGTTGAACACAGGGTTGATAATATAGAGATGCTTTTGTTATTGCTGAGCAGCGCTTGCACAGAGCCAAGGCCTTTTCTGCTTTTCATACTGCCACACTGGCATGTAGATAGGCACTTGAACAGCAACGCTGGCTGGGGGTGCACGGGAAACTGGGAGCAGATACAGCCAGGACAGCTGACCCTAACTGACCCAGGGGATATTCCAGACCATATGCCATCATGCTTAGCCTATAAAGTGGAGGGAAGAAGGGATGACATTTGGAATTATGGCATTTGTCTTCCCAAGTCACTGTTACGCACGATGGGGCCCTGCTCACCTGGAGTTGGCTGTACACCTGCCTGCCCGTGGGAAGCAGTGAATTAATTAATTCCTTGTTTTGATTTGATTGTGTGCACAGCTTTGGCTTTCCCTATTAAACTGTCTTTATCTCAACCCACGAGTTTTCCAGCTTTTACCCTTCCAATTCTCTCCCTCATTCCGCTGGTGGGGGAGCGAGCGGCTGCGTGCAGCTTGGTTTTTGGCTGGGGTTAAACCACGACAAGATGGCACGTGATACCCAGGTCAAGTAACAGCTGGGATTTGCAAAGTAGGATATTTGCATGATGTCCACAAGTACATCAAAACCATAATCGGTTTCACAGCTTTGTATTCATACAAATATCACATCCAGATCCACAATCCCAAATCCCATTAAGTGATGTTTTTAAGTGCCTAACATGGCCTGTTATCCAGCCTTTGATAGTCATGTAACTTGACTTCTTTTGTGCAACCCCTATATTGAATGTGCTCCACAATACAGTGACCAGATTTGTAATCCTCATTTTTAATTAGTTATATTCAGTGATGCACACTGACACTTTGTCATAAAAAGCAATTTAAAGGCTACACAATGGAGCAAAAACTAAAATGGCAACCTTTCGTTTCAGAGCTAGAGGCCACTACAAGCAGCACCAGAATCTCACCAAGGTTAACAGAAGTGTAAAGAGCCACCAGCATGAATCAGCTTCCCAAGGTGGCACCAACAACCTCTGGAAGACTTGCTGAAATTCCCCAGGCTCCCTAAGACCACTGCATGCAAAAGTCCTGCAAATGAGACGTGGACATGAACTTGGAAACCTGCTGAATAGACAAACAAAACTGCAGATCTAAACTGCTGGTTTCCAAACTTTTACTACGTGACCTTAGAACATTTTAACCATTAAAAAGGAAACCTCATTTCTCTTAAACGGAAAACACCTGCCAGCTTTTCTGCTGCCTTCTATGAAGCTGCTGACCTGTGAGCATTTGAAGATCATAGATGGGATTTTATTTGTCCAACTGGTGAATAATATTCTCCCAAAGCTTTTATCGTGCTCACTTTCCTAAGGCATTTACGGGGTAGGACACCAGACAGCGATATCAGGTGGTTGCTATTTCAGACACACATACCAAGAAAGGCTCAGCATTTATGGGAAATGCAGTTATCCTGTGACATGTGTGAGGTGATGGCAACGAACCAGGACCTGGCCATAGGTACCAGCCTCCAGATGTTCAGCCTGTGCCAGGGCATTCACAGAAACAAGTGCTGATGTAGATCAAACAAAGGCAGGAGATGTCTGTGGTGATGCTGTGATAAAAGCAAGGCTGTGAACCCCAAGGGTAGCACATCCCTAGTTGCTACACAAAGCACCACTTAGCTGATGGATATTTATTTTAACAGCGTGACTTAATGAAAAGATAGATTTTAGAGATCTTAAAATTGTATGTCATGGATCTCTCTCACAGTAATTTAATATAAAAAGATAACTACATATCCACCTCAACATCTATTTATCCTTACACATCACTTCTTCCTGCTTTTCAGTCCAAGTACAGGGTAAAATGTAGCAGCAGCCAAAAATCAATACCATCTCCTGAGGAAACAGCACTGCTCCACACTAGGTACTACTGAAGTAAGTTAAAAAAGCACCCACAGTTATCTGCTACAGAAAGTCCATCCAACACAAGCCTAAGCAGGGATTCCTCCACCAAATCTCCACGGATGTACCAATAAACATCCCAGCCACTTCTCTGCAGAGACATGAACCTCCACACGCAGCAGTAAATTAGAGTTCATGGTTCCATCTCCTGTGTGCTTTTTAATGCCTTGAACGTATTTTTGACAATAAAACATACCTTGTTTGCCATCATTCTTGTTCCCTACCATTATTCCATCGCTGTTGCCAGTAAACAAAACACAGTTTTGTGTATAAATGATCCCACTTTTTTTTTCCCCTGATACATACACTCTTGGATTTATAAGTTAAGAAGCAACAATACTAATTAAATGCACTTATATGTGATCTGAAAGAAGACAACACCAAAAAATCAATAGAATAACTGAATTTTAAGAGTCTAAAGTACAGTGGAACCAAGACTTAAGAAGAAAAAAAAATCATGATACAACTCAGGAACTTGGAATGAGTTTTAACTTCCAATGTTGATTATAAAAGATAGACATGCTTATCTCCACATGGCTTCTGTAAATAAACAGATCTGGTTGGGGGCTTGATTAAACACCAGTCCAAATGGTGCTTTTTACAGACAAAGACACAAAAAATACTACTCGGACCCTGAACCCGACCACAACTATGTCATGAGTACAAAAGGATTAATCAGAAATTATTGGTGGGTTTATTTATTAGATTTGATTTGTGGGACCTGAGAATATTTGTGTGCTTTCAACAGTTTCTTGTTATTTCCCTGTCATGACTTGAAAAGTTACCAAAAAACAACTAAAGGGGAGAATTTCACCAATAGTGTGAGGCAGTTCAGTGGCAGAAAGGCTGATAAAGGAGAGAACTTTCCTTCTGGAATGATGGGGGGGGGCAAGCAGAGAAATACACCAGAAAACTGGTAGAAGGAGACAGAGAGGATTAAAAAACAAGATGCTAGAAAATACACACTTGAAAAAACAATCTCAAATTCTGGTTATAAACTTTCTGTTTCAGTTTTGACTTTGGTACTTCTTCCCTATGCCTCGCTGTGTGCACCACGGGGGTGAGCTCCCCTGGCAGAGGCTTTCCACGACATTAGAGGCTCCAACTTCAAGCACACAAAATGTAATATGAACACTGCAGTTAATTAATAAATTTTAGCTAATCCTTCAAAACAAGAATGGACCACCTACAGGAGCCAAACCTGATATTAAAAGAGTTATAAGACTGGGCACGTCCCGCCCGCCGGGACCGGGTCCATTTGGGCAGCAGCAGGGATGCACAAACCACAGCAAGCAAAGCACAACCTTTACCCTTCCATTCCCGGGGCTGGGGAGCGTCATTTCTAAATTTAGAGCCCAAACCTCCACGGACGTTTCCTGGATCGATGTGCGGCCGTTCAACTACAAAACCGAAAGCGTTTCCAAACCGGTTTCACTACGCGGCTCCCTCCTCGATGGGGACAAGGCACCGGGACAGTCCCTCGCACCAGCGCTTCCCCCGAACGCAGCCCAAGATTAATTTCCCGGTGTCCAATCCGCTGGACGAGCGAACCGATAACGCGCAGGGATGCTCTCCAGGGACGGGTTTGGGGGGGTTTTCTCCATCTCCCCTCTGCTCCCCCCGGTCCCACTCACTTGTCCAGCCAGAAGGTCCATGGCGAGTGGAGCGGCAGCCCCGGTAGCCCCGGCGCCTCCCGCTCGGGGGGGCTGAGCGCCATCAACCCGGGCGGGCGGGGGGGGCGAGGGGCGGGACGGGCGCGGGGAGGGGACAAGGGACGGCGAGGAGGGACGGGGAGGGGGTGAGCGGGACTCGGGCTTGGAACAGGGGCAGGGGAGGGTCAGAGAAGCGGGGCAAGGATGCGACGGGAAGGACAGACGGACGGCATGGGGAAGGGGGAGAGGGAGCCACGCTGATGGTGACAGCGATGGACGTGCCCAAGGGCGCATTGGAGAGCACGGGCGGCTCCTCAAAAGGGCCCTGACCCAGCACATGCACTCGCCCGGTCACTGCCTCTCCTCTGGGAGGGGAATCGACCATCTGCTTCCTTAGACCTTTACGAGGACCCAGAGCCACGAGGCCCTGGGGCAGACAGGGTACCCAAAGCCCCCACTGGGCAGACAGGGTACCCAAAGCCCCCGCTGGGGCAGACAGGGTACCCAAAGCCCCC